TACCCCATCTGTAGCCAGTGAATGTCAAGTCTGAAGAGCTCTGGTGTAAGTCATCTCTAGGGCTCCAGGTTGCATCACACCCCATCTGACGTCAGCTGCAGCTGTGGTGGGCATTTCCACACAAGATCCACTCATCTCATGCTGATGTGTGCTTCTCCTCCTCCTTTTATAAAGTTTTATTGAGATATAATTTATATCCTATGAAATTCACCCATTTTAAGTTTACACTTCAGTGACTTTTACAGAAAATACCTAAAGTTGCACAAAAGCATGACAATCCAGTTAGAGAACATCTCCATTATTTCAAGCCCATTTTACAATCCATCCTTCCCATCTCCAGCCCCAGGCAGCCACTAAACTGCTTTCTACCTCAACAGATTTGCCTTTTCTGGACATTTCATGTAAATGTCTAGCAGCTTTGGATTAGCACGATGATTTGGAGATTCATCTGTTAACCAAAATAAATACTGCAGGAGGCTGCAAATAAGTTTATTTGGGGTCTTAAGAATTGCAATTCAGGAGACACAAATTTGGGTAACCCTGAAGGAGTGGTCCAAGGAAGAGAAAGAGACAGGGGATGGGTTTACAAAGACAAAAAGCCACGAGGTCGTTAAAAGTTGCGTGGACAGAATTGTGATTGATATGAGTCAGTAAATATTTGTCCTTAAGGCATTCCTGTCTGCCCAGGACAGAGAAAACTCTGATTTTCAAAGGCCCCATGTGCACATTGGGTCCACCCAGATCAGGATACTCTCCCCATTTTAAGGTCAATTGTGCCACACAGTGTACCACAATCAAGGAAGTGATATCTCATCACATCCACAGGCCCCGGGAGTTAGGGTGGGACATCTCTCGGGGGAGGGCATTTAGAAATCCCTCCTCCCATAGTAGGGCTGCATGGCTAGTCAGGGTCTCAGTATGGCTTCAAGGCCAGGCTGGGGTCCCTACTTCCCACCAGGTTTCCTAACAGGAAACCAATGATAATTATTCATTCTTAGTCACATATATGGCTGCCTCTTTTTGCTCCTTTGTCTTCAGAGATGGCCCGCGCCCTGTGTATCTACTTCTACTTTAACCTGAGCACCCAACCCCTACACCTCGTGGCCTTTCTCTTGCCTCCTGAAACAGCCTACACTCTACGGAGCATGTATCTCTCTAAATAAACCTATCTTTACTTAAAAAAAAAATCACATACATCCCTCAATGGAGGACTATCAGAAATATTTGGGAAGGAAACTGTGTAAAAGGATTGGCATTCCTGATAGTAAAGCAGCCATTATAACCTGATTGTCCACTTGGTTTCTGTCCTTCAATACACATGCTATGCACTTGGATATACTGCTGACCAGAATATCAACCTGAATATCACTTATCATCTCTCCCTGAGTCTCCGCCCACCTGGAAGCTGATATTTCTCCCAAATTCTCCTGGTTTTGCTGGCCAGCTGTCCCTCTTCCTCCCACAAAGAGCCCTCTTCCTGCGTAGCTTGTGGCACCTAGCTACACCACCCTCTCCTGCTCCCTGTGGTCCTTCCCCATCTCCAAAGACTTCACCTCTTTCCACACATTTTCAGTGTCCACGTGGGTAATCCATTTAAAATTTCAGTCTCATATTCTTTGCTTCCTCACCTGTCATGACCTTCTCCTTCACTTCACCTTGGGAATCCACTCCTACGACTTGACCATTTTCAAACACGTGCAAATATTTACTCACTGATTATAACTTCCTCTCATCCCAGCTTACTTTCTCTCATCCCCACTGCTGTCATTCATCGCTGTTTTTGTGATTTCAAATCCATTGAGCCCTCCAAGTTCTCACTTCTCATTACCCCGCCTCCTGTCTTCCATCAGGATTCCTGGTCTGCATGGTTAGTCTCAACACCAACTGCAAATTAGAATCACCTGAGAAGCTTCTAATAAATAACAATCCCCAGGCTCCATCCTGAACCATCAAATCAGGTTCTTTGAAAGCCCCATGGATAATTCTAATGTGCACCTAGCTGGAATTGAGAATCGCCTTTCTATAATTATTATTGGCCACTCCACTGCAAATACCATTCATTCCCTCACTTTTCTATCCCTTCATTCATATCCACCTGGCAATATTCCAACCAAAATATCTGCCCAAGTTTTTTGCTTCTAGACAGAGTAAATGGGTTGTTTTTACCTTAAATCTGTGATCACAAAACTCAAATTGGCTTTTAAATCGACTGGCCATCTGACTTGCTATGTTTCTCCATTAGCTGTTTCCCATTCTCTGAGATGACCAGGCACACCTCCACTTTTTCCCCCTCTGCATTTTCCTGAGATGATCTTGTCTCATTGAGATGTCATCAAATGGGAATTCTCTCAGTAAACCTACAAACAAACCTACACCTACTCCATCTTCTCCTCCTTCCCCTCTGGTATCATCCAGAAGCACCCCTACCCCTTGAAAGGGCCCCTGTACTCTGGTCCTTGCTCCTCTTGCCTCCTCAAGGACTTGGGTCCTTGCATCACCCCATCTTTGCTGAACCATCAGTTCCCATTCCACCAACACAGAAACAGGATTTTGTGTCTTCACATCTTAGCCCTTGGCCTCAATCCCACATTCCCCTCTAGATACTGCCCCATTTCTCTGTACACTTTCATTGAAAAACTTGTGGAAAGAATTATCTACCCTGGCCGTCTCAACCACCTCACCTCCAAATTTTTAACCTACAGATGAGAATTTGTTATACAGATACAGGGATAATGCATGAGCAGAAATATAGCTCTCCAAGGTCCTGATATAGCTGAGTCTGGGAGCCGGAGGCTGGAGGGCTATCTGGAGCCCTCTCTCTGCCTTCTCATTTGTTGTGCATCTCCCTCTTGGTACTTTCTCAGTAATGCAGACTCCGCTACTAGTGAGTGCACCTAGCAGAGGGTGACTGCTCAAAACAAGGTTGTGGACTGAATTGGGTCCCCTGCCAAATTCATATGCTGAGGCCCTAAATCCCAGTGTGCCTGTGTGTGGAAACAGGACCTTTATGGAGGTAACTAAGGTTAAATGAAGTCATAAAGGTGGGGCCCTGATAGATTAGCATCCTTATTAGAAGAGACTCCAGAGAGCTTGTCCCCACCCCCCACTCTCCGCCAGTACACAGAAAGAAGAGGTCAGATGAACACACAGCCACAAGCCAGTAGCAGAGGTCTTACCAGAAACCAATCACGTTGGCATGCTGATCTCAGACTTCTAGTCTCCAGAACTGTGAGAAAGTAAATGTCTCTTGTTTAAGCCACACAGTCTATATTGTTATGGCAGCCTGAGCTGACTAATACAAAGTCTACTGCAATTCCACCGACCTGATCGAACTCTCTCACATTTCTAGAGAAGATATTCTCATTGGCCCTGCTGAGTTTAACTCTGGTCAACCCTGGCCAGGAGAGCAGGATCATATAATGGAAAATGGTTACTTGGGACCTTTCAGGGGTGATAATCAAAATATTTAACAATAAGTATGGCAATATAAATTAATTAAAAATTTAAATATAAATTATATTTGCTTTATTTTTATTTAAAACTTTGAATTGCAGTTTAAAACACACATATGTAAAAGTGTATGAAACATAAATGAACAACTCAATAAATAATTGTAAAGCAGACATCGGGTAACCACCATCCAAGTCTAGAAATAGAACACTTCTCACCCCAGAAGCCCTCAGGGGTCCCTTCCCACCCATATTGAATTCCCTCTCTCCTAAAGTTAGTATAAAATACTTTTATAATAATTATTTCCTTATTTTCTGTAGTTTTACCTTCACATACACATAATGAGAGGGTCACAAGGAAGCCTTCTAGAATGCTGCAAACTTTTTATATCTGATGTGGGTGGTGGCTATATGGTACACATGTAAGAATATGAGCTGTACACTTAAGATTTCTGCACTTTACTGTCCATTATTTGTACGATTATTATACATATTACATCCATATATAACAAGTGAAACAATGCATTGTTACAATTATTACTTTAATTTTACATCTTTTAAAGAAGATGAGAGGAGAAAGGAGAGCAAGTATTTATTTATAGAGTGTTTTTTTTCTCTTCTATCCTTTGCTTTTTAAATTCACCCTCTACTCTGCAATAGTACTGATCAACTGAAGTGTGAATCTGCCCATACCGTTTGCCAGCTAAAAACTTATTTCAAGTCCTATAAGGCAGTACACAGTGCCTTCCACATCCAGCCCCAGTGTCTCTCCAGCATCACTTCCCACAACCTCCCGTCTTACACACTGTCCTTATAGACACCATTTGCTCATCTTTCTGGTTTTGCTGATGCTGTTTCTTATGCCCAATTGCCCTTCCTACACAATACCTCTCTTCCCCTCCTGTTTCAGTTGGCTCAGGCTACCAAAACAAAACATTATAGACTGGGTGACTTAAACAACTGACATTTATTTTCTCACTGTTATGGAGGCTGGAAGTCCAAGATCAAAGTGCCAGCATGGACAGATTCTGGTAAGAACTCTCTTTCTGGCTGACAGACAGCTGCCTTCTCACTGTTTCCTCACATGGCAGAGAGAAACAGGAAGTCCCCGGTGTCTCTTCTTATAAACACACCAAACCCATCGTGAGGATCCCACCCTCATGATCTCATCTAAACCTAATTACTTCCCAAAGGCCCCACATCTAAGTACCATCCTATAGGGGTTATATATGAATTCTGAGGGAACACAATAGAACCTCCTTCACATAACTAAATGCGAGGGAATAGACGCAAGAGAAAGCAACTTCATAGCCCAGTCGGAGCACTTTGCCCTTATTACAGGGCCTGAGAGAGCATCGTGGGTACGTTACTTAGTAACCGTCGCCGGGGAGGGAGGCTGGAAGGGCCGAGAGCAAGCTGCTCGGGGTCCAATCCGGACCCCGTATTCCCGGAGCCAATAGCAGCGTTGAGAGCCGCTTACCGAGCCTGGACTGAGCTTCCCATGATGCCCCGGCGCCTCGGGCTAGGCGGCTGCCGTAAAGCAGTTCACTCGACGCGACGCAAGTGACCGCTGCCCGCCTCTCCCGGCTCGGCGAGTGCCACTCCCCGCCCCACAAGGGAGAGTCGGCTCCAGGCCGCGCCCCCTCCTTACCGGGGCGCCCTCCCTTCTGGGGGCCCGGTCCTCACGGTGGTCGCGGTGGCAGCGCCCTCGGGCCAGGCCACAGGGGGAGGGGGCGGCCTGGCGGCAGTGGCGGGGTCAGCACGGGGCACCAAAGGCGAGGCCATGGAGCCCAGGGAGTCGGGGAAGGTAGGCCTGGAAGGGCCCTGGGGCCTCCCACTCCCTCGCCCCCGATCCGGGCGCCTGCGAGGCGGATGGTACGGGCGGAGTCCCCGCAGATGAGCCAGCCTTGCAGGGAAGGGCTCGCCCGCTCGCCCGCCGCCTCTTCCTCTGCACTTGGGCGGCCGCCTCGGGCGAGTCCCGCGCAGCATTCCGCTCGCTCCCTCCCTCCCTCCCCGGCCGCCGTCAGCCGAGTCGTC